GTATTTTACAGTTTCCTATAGCCTTTTCAAGATGGCCACGTTTAAAATTGCTGTAACACTTTAAGCGGCCTCTTCCTCTAAATGCAGTCTGGCAATTATTTCTGAGGGAGATTATTAAAAACACAGCCTTTAATCAGGGAAGGAAGAGCACGGCACAGAGAGCTGTGATGAGAGATGGTCTCTCTAATAAGAGTCACGTAATTGTGTCAGAGCGATTGAATTTCTGAAGATTGCATTAAGACAGTGGAATTTGTAACTTCTGAAGATGTAGGAAGTGATTCATATAGTGTGATGCTGAAGCCTAAACGGAATCACATTCTGTGATTTAAAATTTGGCCAGGGAACTACTTACTTTTTGAAAAGGGCCATTCATTTAAAAGCAAGTTAGTGTCCTTCCTCAATAATCCAAATCAGTTTAACACACTTCAGTGACATTATTTGGGCATTTTTCACAATTATTAAAGATAACTCACTTTTCTCTGTAGACTGTAGGGTCAAAAACAAATCAGATCAGTGGATTTTCTTCCTTTGCTTTCATAGATGAGTCAGAAATTATTGGTCAAATGTGTACATGACCTTTCTGCTTAAGCTTAAAAACCAAAACAACCTGTTGGGAAGACATTTGGCCAATCTGATTATTTTCTCTACACTGATTGGTTTTACTACTTCATTGAATTGAATGAATTGCCTGGTTGTTTTGTCACTGTGGGGACAGAGCTTAATTCACTTAGAGTGAGCACTTGTGCTTGGTGAATGATGAGGCTAAGGAAATGCATATCATCACCATTAATTTTTGGTAATTTTTCATGGGTGAGAATGAAAACATACCTTGAATCCACCTCTTTTTTCCCTTTCTACTTCTGGTGCTCTAGTCAAGCCATCTCATCTGGCCCCTAGATTATCCTAGTAAGCTTGTACCTGTTTTTCCCACCTCTATTCACCTCTCTCCCAAGTTTGGCTTCAAAATTTAAACTTCTTACCACAGTCACTTGTACTCTGCAAGATCTGAGTCCCTGTTGACTTCCCCCACATCATCTTGCCCCTGCCTCTTCATTCATGACTCTCCTTCCACATTGGCCCCCCATGAGTCCCTTGCTCCCCCAAGCTGCTTTCCCCTTTAAGGTCTCTGTATTGTTCCTTCTTTTGTCTAGAACATCCTTCGTGGACTTGTTCTTTCTCACTCTGAAGGTCTCATTTCTGATGTCGCCTTTCTGAGAAGTCTTCCTTGACTATATAAAAGTCGTCCCCAGTTACTCTTTGGAATAAGCCCCCTCATTACTCTCTTTACTACCCTCTGCTTATCGTGACTCTGTAGTATGCTTCCCTCCATTTCTCATTAGTCTCTGGAATAGCCTCCTGTTAATCGTTACTGCCTGTAATACTCTCATTTTCACTCTCGGTAATACCCCCGTCCTCGATTTGTTTCCTTTGTGACCCCATCACATTATGTGTCTGCTTCCTTGTCTTTGCTTCTCTTTCCCCATTACAGTAGAAGCTCTTGAGGGTCAGTGCCATCTTTGTTTTGTTCTTCTCAGACTCTTCAAGGTGGAGTATGGTGCCTGGGTCATTGAAGGGGCCCAGGATGTGGTTGTTGAACAGGTGAATGGAATAACAAAAGCCTCATTGTGTGCCATTAGACTACCAGAGTACACGGGAGGGTCAAGAAGGATTGTGTGGAAGAAAAAAACATTGCTTTCTTTCCCAAACTGTGCACTTCTCTACGGATTTTCAAAGTTGATTTGCTCAGGATTAGCACACTTGGTAATCTAGTAACTTACCCCTTTAGATATAAGAAGTGGAACTGTTCTTTTGGTTTAAGCCGGAGGATGGAACACATTTATTTACCTCTACTTTTCTCTAACAACTCACAAGAGGTTAGTAATTAAAGGTGTTTGTAATGTATAAGCTCACAAGGAGAAACGACTTGGAGAAGAAATGATGCCACTAGTTTGAAAGCTGGAGTGCAGAGTCTGAATGGGAACTGATGTAGCTGACCCCAAGGAATGGAATCCTGATTTAACAGTGGGAAGACTCCCCATAACTCAGACATTCATGGTACCAGGTGGGGCTGAAAACAAGATTGATTGAAAGACTAAGAAGCAATCAGACTTCAAATCCCACCCTGTTTCTAGCTTGGTAACTTCCTTTACCCTTGCAGAAGTCTAGGGGCTTAGTCTCTGGACAGCATACAAAAAGCTGGGGGACACTTGGCGTAATTAGTTCAGCAGGGGAGTGAGGGGACCAGATTGAAAATGGGGTTTGAGCAAATGTGAATACTGCATATGAGCCCCCAGAATCTCTTCTCTAATTTTGACTTCAGAATGCCAGCAGCCTGGTTTCTATTTTACAGTCAGGAGACCCAAGGACTCTTCCTGTAGAAGCTGACCAGTACACATGGAGACCTGCAGATAACTACGTCAGGGTTCCCACTGAAACAGAGCAACCACATAACCTAACAGTAGGGCCCATGGTTGACAGATTGCACTTGTAAAGAACACCAAGTCAGCCTTTTCGTGCCTATTTCCTAAACATAAGCAGCTAAGATTGCTGTATTTCTCAGGAAAGCCACTAACCTAGAGAGAAATAAAAATAAACTAATGGAAACAAAGGAATTTGGAAGAGGGACTATGGACTTCAACAACAACAACAAAAATCCATTATTAACATTGCTGGGGGTAAAAGAGAGGATGTTAGAGCCATGAAATAAGAACAGATGCTATAAAAAAAGAACATGGGAAAGAACTCTTAGAAATTAAAAGCATATAGCAGAAATAGAAACTCATTGGAATATAAAGTTGAGGAAATTCTGAAAGTGAAACAAAAAGACCAAGAAATAGAACATCAGAGCGAAAAGATAAGAAAAATAGAAGATTATACTAGGAGATCCAATAACCCAATAAGGGCAGTTCTAGAAAGAGAGAAAAGACAAAAAAGAAGGGAAAAAAAATCAGAAATAACAGGTACATTTAAGAGTTATATTGTACAACATGGTAACTATAGTTAATAATATTTTGTATTCTTAAAAATTGCTAAGAGTATATTTTAAGTGTTCTTGCCAAAAAAAATAAGCATATGGGCTAATACGTATGTTATTAATAATAAGCTAATTTAGTCAACCTACAATGTGTATATATTTCAAAACAATGCATTGTACATGAGAAAGAAAAAGGAAATAAAAACAGAACCACATTTTTCTAAAACCTGAGGACATGATTCAGGTTGAAAGAATTTATTGAGTGCCCAGACAATGAATGAAGATAGACCCAGACTGTGGTAACACCAGAAATAAAGAAGAGCCTCAGGGATTCCAGAGAGTGACAAACAAAAAGATTTCATCCAAAGGATCATGAATCATAAGTCATATTGTCTCCAGACTTCTCAACAACTAGAACACAATAGAACCATGTCTGCAACCCCAAAGGGAAATGATTTCTGGTTCAAAATTTCATACCCAGCCAAGCTGCCAATTACATCTAAAGACTTATACTTCATGTACCCTTTCTCATGAAACTACTAGAAGTTTTGTGTTAGGAAAGCAGGAGAGTAAACCAAGAAAAAAGAAGTTGTAGACGTTCAGGAACCAGGAAAGAGGTGAAGAGAATCAGCACAGCGGGGATGAAGGGAGACCCTGAGGGCACAGCCATGCTGTAGAGAAACATGGTCCACTTGGAGCAAATCAGAAAGTTTCAAGGAAACGTTTCTCAGGGAATGAAATGAAACCTCAGACAATTGGAGAGGCAGTTGGAAAATGGTTTTAGAAATAAGTCCATAGAAAACTCAGCGAAATTTTTAAAAAGTAAAATAATTAATTCCAGGGAAAGCAGTTTTGGCAAGGAAGGCAACATAATCGTAGTATACTACATGATTCAGTGCTGACAGGTAATATATAATAATAGATTATATATATATGTATACACACACACACACACACACACAATAAACACGGAATATTCGCCTAAATGAAAACAGGCTATCAGTGTTAGAGAACTGTTGAGAAGATAGAGAGGTGGAATGTGTGCTTGTGTGTGGGGTCATGAAGGTTGAAGAGTGGGGGAGCCGGAAGAAGAGGGAAACCCTCCTCTCTCCCCATGAGAAGTCACAGCTACTACTTCCACAAGATATAGTCCTATGACAATGTTATTAGACATGAAGGAGATAAAAGTCAAAAGACTCCCAAATGGGAAAAGATGGATGGGTTGGCAGGGGTTGCTGTTTTTCTTAATACATAGTTAGGCTTGACTTTTCAGACTGCACGTGTGTACCTTTCATCAAAATGAAAGTAAATTTAAAAGTGGGTCTAGTGCTTCTTCTCTAGTGACACAGTCGTTTTAAGATATTTCCCTGATCTCGTATCATGATGGAACCTGCCCTCTCTGAAATTTTGTGATCATTTTGACTGGTCTGCCAGGTCATTAGTGCAGGTGAAGGATGAGGGAAAGACAGGTACGAGAAATGCTGTTTTGCAGATATTGTCAGGGCCTTTCTTTCTTTCCACAATCACAACAATAACCACCACAACAAAACAACAGCATCACAAAAGCCAACCTCATCCCTTGCTGCCCAGCACTCTAGTGGGAATTAAGACATGGTTTATTTCTAAGTTCCCACTATACATCGATTGAAACGTCTATTCTGACCACTTTGTAATATGTCCAGAGAATTCAAGCTGATCTAAAATTTACCTAAACAGACATGACCAGGAATACAACTCTGATGAGAAGAAGCAACATGAAATATAGATATATTTTATGATATGTATCATTCAGGGACTTTTCTCCTTTGAGAACTGGTTTGGCCATTTCCTTTTTTCATAGAGTGGATATATTTTATATGACCAAGCGTGAATTGGTTGGAGATAAATTGAGTTCTTGCACACACCCTGTGAGATGAGGGTTAATGAGCTCAGAGGCGATCATGAAGTCATGGACCACCTCCCAGGAAATTACTCTTTGCTAATTTTATAATTCCAGATGGACGTAAATGTGCCTCTCCCCTTTCAGGTCTGAATCTGCAAGAGGAGCCATCTCTTACCACCACAGAATCACCTCCTTGTTGTGGGAAGGAAGAGAAGAAGGAAGGTGACTGCAGACAAACCTCAGGAACCCTCTCTCTTGGTACAAGTTCAAGGACTGTCAGGGAAATGGACAAACGAACTGTGAAGGTGGGCATGATGATTTTGAACTGCCCCTACCTATTGCCGGTCTAGATTTATAGCTCTGCTTGTTCTTGTTGCTCTTGTTCAGTGTGGCAGAACTTGCTCGGATCACCTTATGAAGATTCGCCTCACAGAAAGCCCATTAAGACAAACAAATAGGTCAAAACATTCTGTATCAAATGACTGAGCAGCTTTGGTAGTGCAAACATTGGGATGATTTCTGATGGTTTCTTTAAGAAACCCAAGTATGTTATTACTGTGCACCTGAATAGAGAGATGGCTGACAGGTGCCACTGCAACATGAAGCCCCCCAGACAGATTGTGGGGCTGCGTGTTGAAAACCACTAAAATACGTATCCAGACCACACTTGGAAAAACACTCATCTGGAAAAAAACAAAAACAAACAAACCAACAAGCAAAAACCTTCAATACACAGTCCTATAAAATAGTACATCCACTTCATGAGCAGTAGTGACTTAAAAAAGGAAGCTGAGAACTGGTTAGATGATTGAGCAGTTCTGTTTTTCACAAAGCCAGATAAAAGCACAGGATCTCAGCAACCTATTTTATATCAATCGGGAGCTTTATTCGAGTTAATGCACCAATTAGTTATTAATGGAAACTTATTGAGGGCGTCATATTGAAGTTCACGCTTGGTATAGAATCATTAAGACCTCAAGACCTGTTTTCATTGAGGACCACGTTTCTGACCACATTTTTCTTTGTACCAATTAACCTTTTTTCCCCCCATTTTTTCTCTTTGCACTTTGTTGCAGGATATTTCTCCATCTGCCGGTGAGCACAGTGACTGTACTGCTCACAGCACTGCTGCCACATCAGGATTCTCTCTGCAATCTGACACCTACCCGGCAGTGGTTAATGACGCTCCTCTACCCCCTGGCAAAAGTCTTGACCTTGGGTTGCTGGAGACTCAGCTGCCGGCCTCCCAGGATCCAGTCTCAACAGATCCCAAACCATGCATTTTCTCAGATGCTCAAGGGCCTTCTTCCTTTGGGTCCAAAGGAACTTTTCCCCGCCACGACATTGCTACCTCTGTGGCTGCCATTTGTATATCTCTGCCAGCGAGAACAGATCACGTAGCCCAGGAAATTCACAGTGCTGAACCACAAGACCACAGCCAGACTGCAGGGAGGACTCTGATACCAAGCTCCCCGGACAGCAAAGCCACAGGAGAGGGCAGAGCACAGACCCTCTTGCCAGGGAGACCTTCATCTGGACAGAGAATTTCAGATTCAGTTCCATTGGGGTCAACTGAAAAAACTCATCTTGAAATACCAGCTTCAAGACCAAGTTCAGCTAGTTCACACCAAAAGGAAGGGAGACACAAGACATTTTTTCCCTCCAGAGGCCAGTATGGGTGTGGGGAAATGGCCGTCCCCTGCCCCTCTTTAGGAAGTGACGGTAGGAAATGTCAGGTATCTGAATTAATCACTCGGAAGGATTCTGTGGTTCCTTCTAAGCCAGAGCAACCCATAGAAATTCCTGAAGCCCCTTCTAAATCCCTCAAGAAGAGGAGTCTGGAAGGAATGAGAAAGCAAACTCGAGTGGAGTTCAGTGATACCAGCAGCGACGATGAAGACCGATTGGTTATAGAAATATGAAGCTTCCAGAGAAAGATGGTATCTTTGGTCAAAGACTGTTGACGCTTCACAGGTAAATGTTGTCAGACTGGCGGAAGAACTCAACTCTATCTGTGAAACACCTACAGATTAGGAAAGCCATTTTGAGTTATTTACAAGCCAACTCCAACCAACTCCTGACCCCCAACTCAGCCACAGTGTTCCCCAACTCCCCTTGGGAGTGCTCTGCTTATGTTCACATGGTGCCAGGCAGGGCAGACATGGCAAGGAAGCAAACTCCGGAAATGGTCAACGTGCACAGTGACTGGGCCTTGACTCCCAGCCTCCTCTTCTGCACCTGTCCCCCACTGCCTCTCTGCAATCAAATGGCACTAACCAAGAAAGCCACAATCAACACGTTTCTTCACAAGTGGGTCCCACACAGTCGAGGCAACTGGCTTTCTCCGTTAGTAAACTGAGGGTTTGCTTCCAAGGTAGAGAGCATACTTGGGATAATTGGAGTAGCTTGACAAAGAGACAGGGTGTGAACTGGGCACAAAGATACTTCTGTTCATTTTGGAGACAAAATTCGGATACATTAAAAAACTGAAGCTTGTTCAGAGTATTCACGTCCTTAGTGGAGTTGTAAATACACTTCAAAATGGCTATGATCCGGTGAAATGCTGATTACTTTTCAATGTTGCACAAATGGTCAATGCTTATTTATGGTCAGATGACGCAAGTACATACTCTTGTGCCTGATGCCTTTGCTGTGGAGATCTCCGAGACCGTTGGTTTTTCTAGTTTTTGCAAAGGAACATTGTGTTAAAAGTTAATAGAACTGTCTCTCTGTAATGAGTCATTTTTAAGAGGGAAAAATTCACTTATTTTCCTCTGATTCTTTTTGTCATATTGTGCTCTGAGCAGTTTCAATTAGAGGGTTACATTTTAGTAATCTGTACAGCTTAAACTGATGCCTGCTCATCGTGACGGGAGCCTTTTAGATTTCCTTCAGAAGCTTCAAGGATACAAAACTAATTGGAGTTTTGACGCTGTTTTACATCTCAGTAATTTTATTTTCGGGGCTTAGTGTTACTTTGCTGTCAAATTAAATCAGCCTCTGTATTGTGCACGTCAGAACTGCACAGATAAAATTCTCCAGTATTCCAAGCCAGTGCGCCCCTGTGCAGAAGAAAACAGCAGGTCTACATCAACCAGCCCAGTGAGCAAAGCCTCAGACCCACTGCCTTCCTCTCCCCATCCTTCCATGGGAGAGGAGAAACTTAAAGAGGTTTACATTGCTGTGTTTCAATAAAATTTTATACTTGCTTTTGGTATGATTTTGTACAATTTGAAATTTATAGCTGAGCTCTTTTGGTTTAACTTTGATGTAATGATGTTCATGTGACATCTTGTACTTCAAAGACACGGCAATGCAGAGCATCTCACACATACGAATACACTTTAGTCAGTCTGTGCCTGTGACTAAGTATGGTCAAATTTCAAGTATCTTCATGTGAATTTTCCAATTTTGGTGTTATTCATAGAAAACTTCAATGCCAGACCAGCTTCCCTGGTTACTTAGTATATATTTGTGACCATTTCATATGCACTCATAAATGTCCAAGGATTTCAGACCCAGCCAAGAAAAACATAAGAAGGGAGGTAAAAAGGATGTTGGACATTCACTTAGTGTACTTTTTAAACCCAACAAAAGCGATGTGGTGATTATCTCCCTTTTTGAATGATTCATGCCACTATAATGAGAGAGGCAGTGTAGGCACATGGTCTGAGCCTTGGATGGAGATTGAAGTCCTGACTTTAGCTGGGAAATCTTGGTTAAGAGTCTCTCTGTACCTCAGTTTCCCTAAGTGAGAATAAGAGAGTTGGACAAGATGAATGTATCTCCAGGTTCCAATTTTTCTGAGAATGGTTGATAGAGAAGCTGCTCTCTCCTTAAAATGCGTGGACTCAATGGCTTGAAGATATTCCCCATGGGGAACCGTTGCCACGGGGGCCTTGCATGCAAGAAGTTTGGGTGGGGACAGTGAGGAACTGAAATGCAAACACCTTCCACCAATTATTGCTGTGAAGAACCTGAACCTGAAGAAGCTCCATCTAATTTTTTCCCCAGAGTTCCAGATTTTAGGGTGCAATCATCCAGCCTATAAATGTGACTCATAGTTCAAAAAATTAAAAGCAAAACCAGAACTCTCCAGTAAGAATGGAGAAAACCTATCTGTAGGCTGAACTGGCTCCTTTGTCTTAGGAGGCACTGGTCAGGGGAAAAAATCTGTCTTCTAGACCCCTCCTTTCTGGGTGGCTACTGTGGCATGAACGGGATCACTGGCTGTAAATCAGTAAGTCATAGCTCCAAATAGCACCAACTTCAGGATAATGGTGGAAGCTGTGTCCTTCTAGGAGCCACCGTTGCCGGCTGTCACATCCCAACCTGGGTCAAATATGGCAGAATATTGATTTCATCTCTAACTCCCTGTATCTCTTACAAAGGTAGAACAGGTAGCCAAACCACCTTGCTTTGCTGGTCTTTGGCTAGTGGCTGGCAGTGTTTACAAGTGTACCTTACTTTATATCAACATGAATTTGTGAAAAAGCTGTATTTCAATGGATTTTTTAAAATTAAAAATGTATTTTGAATGACCCTAAGGGAGCTGGCTCTTGAAAAGCATCCTAAGGTAAAGATTTTTTTTTTTTTTTTTAATGAAGAATCTTTTTATAAAGCAATGAACAATCTCTGATTTTATAAATCTTAATTTTCCTATGGGTTTCTTAAAGCAAAATATAATTATAAGAATACATTTTAAGGGTAACATCAACAACCTAGAACCCAGTTTGGGTTAATGAAAATAAAATGTCAGTATTATCAATTGATAACTACTGCAGTTGTATTATACTCTGCAAGTGTGTACTGCATGATGGTTAAGGAAAAACAAATTTATTTTAGAACAAAGCAACCAGAGTTTAAAGATCAGGGATTTCCTTCTTTCCCCAGTGCTAATTTTCCAGTGTTAATTTTTTTTTTTTTTTTTTTTTTTTGAGACGGAGTCTTGCTCTGTAGCCCGGGCTGGACTGCAGTGGCCGGATCTCAGCTCACTGCAAGCTCCGCCTCCCGGGTTTACGCCATTCTCTTGCCTCAGCCTCCGGAGTAGCTGGGACTACAGGCGCCCGCCACCTCGCCCGGCTAGTTTTTTGTATTTTTAGTAGAGACGGGGTTTCACCGTGTTAGCCAGGATGGTCTTGATCTCCTGACCTCGTGATCCGCCCGTCTCGGCCTCCCAAAGTGCTGGGATTACAGGCTTGAGCCACCGCGCCCGGCCTCCAGTGTTAATTTTATTGTATCTTTAGGTAAGGGTCTTAACCAACTGATGCCTCAGTTTCTTCCACAGAGAGTAGTTACAGGGACGCTGTCATGACCTAAGGAAAGGGCACTGAATTTTTTTTTTGCCAATCTCAAAAGTGACATTTCCCCATGATGTTCAAGACTCACCAAGTTTCTCTCTCCACCTGTACCTACACCCAGCTAAATCTTGCTGTTAAAGATGTAGGGAGGGAAGAGGGTTCAATCCTCCCCTCCTTGGCAACCTACATTGTTAAGTGACTCAAAGTCATGTGATTTTTAGTGGACAACTGGAATCCGCCTTCTTGTAAAACACATTGAAAAACAGTTCATCTCTCCTGTTAGGCTTAACCCTTGAGATATGAGACAAAGCTAATAACCCCTTTGGTTCACATCTCACAGTAACCAGGAGAACCTATGGTTCATTTGCCAAGTGATTAAAAAAAAAAGATGGAGGAGAGTGTCTGAATTTTAATGAAAACACTGCCAATAGCATGGTGGTAACCTAGGGTAAGTCAAACTTTTTCTTCCTGAAATCACTCTTCTAAAGCTGAGACCGGAAGAGGAACCTTGTAGAAGCGCACTGTGACCACAGTTCTTGGCATGAAAGATAAACAATTTGCAGTCTCATGCCAAAAAGTATTTCCTTGCATTTACATTCATTACTTAGAATGATCACATTATTCATTTTTTTCCCCCAGCACAGAAATTTGCATTTTGCACAAAATTTGCCTGGTGCAGCAGATTTTTATAGTTATGGAAACTGTCATCATTATCGGAATGTGCTGCTGCTCAACTCCCCAGACATAATTTAATATGGTGAGGAGAAAATGGCCTGCCCGGCTCTATGGGTGATCATATTTCTACTATTGCAGCAAACTGGGCTTGTGTATTTTTCCTCACTTCAGTTGTTATTCCCATAGTTCATGTAGGGAGGCACTTTGGCTTTTGAAACACGACATTTCTCAATACTTAAGCACAATTTCTTGTCCTTATTTTTCAGAACCCATTAAATATAAGGGTCAGGACCTAGAAAATATTATGTGCTAGATTTATACACTGTATGATTCTTTGCATCCATGCTTTGCACTTACGTAGGAATATTCATAATTTGGTCTGAAGAAGTATAGGAACAGTCGAGCACATTACTTCACCATTGGAAGAACAGGAACCAGGGAAAAACATCAGCCTCTGCCACTTGGAGCACTAGAGGATGACGGAATGTCTTTTATATGCAGTCGACTGTTCAGGATTTACTACTCAATTGCTTGTTCACAATCAGGGAATTGATTGGCTTCTGGGTTGGTTGTTGAAATTTCTTTCTTTATATGGTTAAATTATTTTGTTTTGATAAAAATAAAACTTAAAATGCAAATGTCTCATGTGATTTGTTAACATTTTAACTAAAACCATTGCAAACCATATCCTTTATGAATGGGACATCTGATTATTCCTAATCATTGACCCAATGCCTCGTCGGCCATATTGGTATCCCATTCCACTCAACAAAGGGATTAGGTCATGTCCAATGATCTCATTTTCTTGTGGTGCTTCCTTTTCACATATAGCTTGTTTGTCATTATCTGCCATATTTTATAGTCTGTAACTGAGGAATCTAATTTTAAATTCTTAAATGTAGTGAAACTTTGAAGCCACAGGAGGGCACGATCCCACAGTGCAATAATCTAGAAACTTTTTCCCTTGGAATTGATGTTTTCTGGACATTTAGCATTACTCATTAACAGAGAAAACATCCTTAAATCAAAATCATAGCTTGTTATGAGGGTGATTTATGTACTCTTTGCAAGAATAAGTAGACTTACTTTTATAGCCCAACACAATATTATTAGTCTATTTACATATTTCTTGAAGACACTTGAAGTCAGTGGGGCGCAATTCATTGGAGGGAAAAGTGGGATTGAGGATGTGGAAGGAACAGATATACTAACTGATGGCTCTTAATAGCTTTTTTCCGAACTCATCAAACTGTAATCGCAATTATTATAATTAATCTGTTTGTTCCAAACTTCAGTCATTTGAGAACCATCTTAATGTTTTTTGCTATATGTATCAAGATGCCACGTATGGGTATATTTTTTAATACTTTTATTTAAATTATCTCTGTGTTAAAGAAGCAATTATTGCCCTAAGCAATAATGTCTATGAAAACTTGTTGAATTTTCTAGTTAAGTATATTTTCAAATATGCATTAAAATATAGTAAAACTATTAAAAATTGTTCATGTGTCGGTTAAATATCATCTTCATATTACCAGTGGTGTACCCAGTGGACTTGGGGAAGCATCGAGATAACCTAAACAGTATGTTTGCTGTTAGGTTCTCTGATTATTCTAGCTCCTGTTAAGCAGAGCTCTGTCTCTATTTTTTCTCCAGTACAATAGAACTGGTGACCACAAACAGAATTGTGGGATTATTGGATAAGTGTCTTTGATCAAACTATATAGTTAAATAATTGACATTTCAAATCAAAGGATTTTGGTCTCAAAGGAATAATCACATAATGTTTTGTTGCATAAACATTTTTTTTGTTTGTTTTGGTGTTTTGAGTGTTGGCTGATTAGTCAGTGAGTACAGAATGATATATAGGAATGCATAGTTAGGAATTCATGCTCAGCTACAAGCACTGCCGTAAGTTCTGCTGAAATAACTGCTTCCATACTTCTAACTGTGGGGAAAATTGATTTGGCCGTACTAAGAACCACAGAGAGCACCTTTCAAGTCTCTTTAGTGTCAGCTTGTTGATCTTTGGGCTGTGTGTGCAGAGTTGCTCAGTGGCGTCTGGGACCTTTGTTTCCAGTGGTGACAGATTCAGTCTGCCTTCGCTTTCCTTCAGTTTCTGCCAGAGGCGAATTCAACAGCCTCTACCATTGAGCATCTTGGGATTAGTCCATGGCTATTTCAGCCCAGAAATAGGTGACTTATTTTTCCGTGTAAGGTATGAGTGAATAGATATCTCATTCCTATTGGGAATGAGAGGTTTTGTACCTGCAGCACCTGGGAAAGAGTGGCCCAGTTCTGCCTGTGGCCGCAGAGATCTGGTTGCCTTCTGTGCATATATTGTGTGCAATGGGGTGTAACACAGCAGGATTGAGGCCTGTTGGCTCCATCATACATGAAAGGTCAGATATCTAGCCTTGCTTTTTCTACATGATGTGTAAACCACAAATACGAATACTCTAGTTGGACATATTTGCCTGAAGGAATCCTTTACACATACACACACACACACACACACAGAAAGAGAACCTTACACACACACACACACAGAGAGAGAGAGAGAGAGAGAGAACACATTGAAAACTTCCTCAAAAGTCCTCCCCTTGTTAAAATAACTGGGTGGACTAGGGCCGATGAATTAGGAAATGAGATGACTACATATATGGTCCAAAAGGGAGCTCCTTGGAGGCAGAGCCCATGGTGTCTTTATCCTGGTTTTCATAGCTGCTGGAAGAGTGCCTGGCTCATAACAGGCATTAGTGCACTTTTACTGAGTAAACAAATGAAAATGGCTCACCGAGAGTAAACAGGGAAGAAAAAAAGAGTCTAAGATAAATAATATAGCCCAACTCCTTCTTCTTTTTTTTTTTTTTTAGATGGAGTCTCACTCTGTCGCCCAGGCTGGAGTGCAGTGGTGCAATCTCAGCTCACTGCAACCTTCACCTCCCTGGTTCAAGCAATTCTCCTGCCTCAACCTCCCGAGTAGCTGGGATTACAGGCGCACACCACCACACCGGGCTAATTTTTGTATTTTCAGTAGAGATGGGGTTTCACCATGTCCTTAAACCAAAATCATAGCTTC